CAGCAACTTTCTCTTCTTGATGAGTTCAAGCAGAGGCAGGACTCTATCTGGGGTATTATCTAGTGCTTGCTTCAGCTGACAAGGAACTGGGGCAAGACTGTTTCTCCTGGTCTTTTCTAAACGCTTAGATGCTAACATAAAGCTGAAGAGGCAAGCGGGTGGCCAGACAGTAAATGAACAGCTTCCTCTTCGTCATTAAAAGCTACAGCTGCGTCTTACATTTTGTCACACAGAGGAAGATGACTTTCCTAAGTGCTCCGCATTCAAGATGACCCAGAAATGAGGAAACCCAAAAGCCACCGATAACAAGAACCCTCTAAAAGCATTCCATTCCATTACGTAAGTTCCCAGAAAGAGTCAAGATTGTGTGTTCTTTAATCAAAGGCCAAGTGTTCCTGGGTTACATCCAGTCCGACCCAGCCCATTCCTGTCCTTTCCAACTCATTTCAGCCCAGGACAGTTCAGTACAACCAATCAATTCAAATTATGACTGGATTATTGTAACTGCAACCCTAAGCATTGCACTTTCTCCTATAACAAAATTTTTTTTTGACACTTTTTTGAGATTTTTCTTTTCAAACCAAGGAAACATTTTCTTGGTGCTCAAGTGAAGCATGAAGAACCATCTCCTTCCTGTTGAGATTACTGAAGATCATGTTTCTCAGTTTAGGATGTTTGAGCATCTTGAGTTTTCTGAGTTCGTAGCTTATTTTAAGAAATGCTATTTATGCCACACCCCAGGATCATGTATGTATTTGAACTGAAACTAAATGTTTGAAAAATCACATATTCTTATATATTAGTATAGTGTTTTAAAATTCTAGTCCAGTGTAATCTATTTCTTTAATATTACTGATCATGTCCCATTCACTCTATGAGTTTTGCAAGTAGAAAAACACAGTACTGAAAACACAAATAATGGCTAACTAAAAGAGAAAACAAATTCTATCGCCTTAGAACTTTGGATAGACTTGCTGCAGGAAGATAAGGTTTGCATATGCGTGGTGTGGAAGGTCTTGTGGCTTGCAATGAATTTCCATATTCCCCTTAAGCCCCTTTCTGCCCACCTTTCTAGTTTCTGTGCCCATCCTCTCAGAGAAAGCTACACATCCCTACAGCCCCTTGAAACATGAAAGACTCCAGAGATGTATGGATAGTCAGCATTCATGCCGAGTATCTTAGACCCTCACATCTACAGAAGCAAGCTTTAGCCTGAAGCGTGTCTGTTTATGAGCACATTCCGGTGACTGCTGCGATAATGGAACTGCTGATATGCTCGCTCCTCGGAGTGCTTGGGTAACCGCTCTTTTGTTATTAGGAAGGCAAATGCCATTTTGAAGATCAAAGTGGACACCTCCTGGAACTTACATTTATTACAAAAGGCTAAAGTGTCTGCATTCCCAGGCATCAAAGGGACTTAACCCAGAAAGACAGTAATATTCAATAGAGCAGGGCAATTTCTGACAGGATAGCAAACCACCTAAGTGGTTGATAGGAATGGGTGGTAATCTCATTCTGAAACTTAGCAGTTCTGTCAGAGCCAGGGTTAAGCAGAGTGCTTGATATTGTGATGGCCACAGTCAGGGTCAGCCTGACAGAAAATTCCACTGTCAGTGCTGGCACAGAGAATCCTTCTACAGTTTTGCGCTTTAGAGTGCCCTTTGGAGGACGTTCGATCCCATTGTTTCTGAAAGTAGGGTCTCATTTTGCTGTCATGGTGGAAGCGATGTAAAAGGTCAATACACCGAGTGTCTATTGCACTATTTGGGATGCCATCAGAAGGACAATTCCAAGCCTTTCAGACACGGGGACCTGGATGCTAGCAGTTGTACTATGGGGAGTCTCCTGTCACCTGCCATCCGAGAAATGGTCTGTGGTGTTTGCGGCTCTTCTGTTTGCGATCCTGTGTTAGTTAGTTTTTAATGTCAATTTCATACAAGGTCATCTGGAAAGAAGGAATTTTTTAATGGCACCATAAGCCAGGGAATATGCTGACAGAAGCAGTCTCTCTCTATTTTAAATAATTTATTTACTTTTATTTTATATGCATAGGTGTTTTGCCTGCAAGTTTTCCTGTATGAGGGCATCAGACCCCCCTGGAACCAGAGTTATAGACAGCTATGAGCTGCGATGTGGGCGCTGGGAATTGAATTCGGGTTCTCTGGAAGAGCAGCCAGTGCTCTTAACCCCCTGAGCCATCTATCCAGCCGTGTAAGGAATCTTAATCATGAAAACATTTCTACATGATTAACCGATTGGTACATCTGTAGGGCATTTTCTTGATTAATGACTAATGCGGGAGGGCCCAGCCCCTTGTGGGTGGTGCCAACCCTAGACAGGTGGAAAAAAGCAGGTTCAATCTATGTGGAGCAAACCAGTAAGCAGCTGACCTAGAGTTTCTAATGCTTGATGAAACACCTTGACTCAGAGCAAACTGGGGAGGAAAAGGTTTGTTTGGTTTACACTTCCACATCATTGTTGACCATAGAAAGATGTCGGGGCAGGAATTCAAACACAGCAGGAACCTGGAGACAGTACTTAAGGTGGAGATCTTGTAGGAGCATTGCTTACTAGCTTGCTCCTCAGGACTTACTCTGCCTGGTTTCTTAGGGAATCCAGGATGACTCACCCATTGCTGTAAACCGGTGTGAGAGAGACCCTGGGGGGTTAGGGGGCCACATGGTGAAAGACAGACACGCCATGCAGGCAGAGCTTATGTGGGAGTTTTATTGAGATACAGGAAATGGGGGAAGAAGAGAGAAAGAGAAATACAGAGAGAAAGAAGAGGAGGAAGAGGCAGGGACCAGTGTAGAAGAGCAGTGGGGAAAAGAGAGAGGGAATGGGCGGAGCTTTTCTCTTAAAGGGACCTTTTGTATCTGTATACATAAAGACTTAGCAGCCATTGGACCCTGGGCTGCCCAGGGTACTGCCTGGGTTCATCCTGCCAGGTGATAGGAGTCAGCATAATGCCTGAATCCTAACACCCATGATGGTACCACTCACAATGAATGTGCTGAGCCCTCCCACATCAATCACTAACTAAGAAAATGCTCTATTGGCTTAAGTACAGCCCAACTTTAAGAAGGCTTTTTTTTTTAAAAAAAAAATCAAATGTGTTTTTTTCTCTCAGAAGTCTATAGCTTGTATCAATTTGATATAAACCTATCCAGCAGAGTAGCACACCTCCATGACCTCAGAAACACTTCCTGTCTCTAGGTTCCTGCCTTGAGTTCTTGCCCGGAGTCACCTGCATGCTAGACTATAAGCTGTAAGATGAAATAAACACCTTTCCTCTCCAATTTGCTTTTGGCCATGAGATTTCATCATAACAATAGAAACCCCAACTAAGACCTAGCCTCTCCCTCCACTTTAAAAAAAATTCAGTAAGTTTTTAACTTTTCATTTTTATCTTATTTATCTTTACTTATCAAACTAGGAAATTGATAAATAAAAATTGTCTGCGTTTGTGACTTATGATATGCTTTGACATACACGTGTACACCTGAGAAAAGGTTTAAATCAAGCTTGTTAAGTTATGTACTAACTCATCACTTACCTATCCTACTTTAAGAGCCTTTGACAAAGCTTTGCGATGGCCACCCTCAGGGAGATCTGAGAAGCCCTTCTCTGCTGGGTCTGCTTCTGATGTTCGTAAGAAAGTCCTTCAAATAGATCCCTATACATTTTTATAGCAGTTCTGAATATTCATGAACTTTGGTCAAAGCATATGGGAGAGCAATAAAGGCCCTTCATTATTTCTTTCCAAACACTTTCCAGTAATCTGAGAGGTTGAAATCCCAACTCCAGAAGAGCTGCATAATTAATGACCGTGTTTCGTTTTACAAGAGATGGCTTTTCTCCTTTTCTCCTACTTTATCTAGTGATTGACTTCTCAAATCCCCTTCACTCGTCCAGGACGTCATCTTTGTAGAGACTTGAATGAAAGGAAACGTTTTCCTGGGGATTGCTAAATGTTTATTAGGATTCAAATGGTTAGTGTCACCAAAGTTGCGCTAGTCCTTGGTAACTTTCCTACTGCAAACTTTTATGGCTTCTATTATTGATGAAAAGACAGTATCGATTTTAATGCATCTTAAATGGATTCCTACAGAGTGGGAAAAGCTGTGACCACAGATATTTGTCACATACTTAAAAAAAAAACATACAAGAGTTTTAAAATGATAAATATTTTAGTGCTCAAGGGGTGTAGGCTGGAATAGCTGTAATACACACTGGAAATCTCTGTGCTAACTACTGGACCATTTCACTGGTCACCTCTAATAGTACTGGTAGTTGTGCAACTAAGCCTTCCTGCATCCTTTTCTTGGAATGTACAATTCTCAAGTCCACAATTAGCATCGCCAGGCTTCAGTGCTGCAGAAATCAGTCAATGGGTTATTGTAAATTCATCTCTTTACAAGTACTTAAATTAGGAGCAAGGTAATTGATTTTTTACTTTGGGTTTGTTTTCAATGGAATTATCCCATTTTATACTATGGAAATACGTACTTGGGAGGACTGTCTTTCATCAAAAGTGAACCATTTTAAACAGGGTATAGAATATACATGCAAGCTCTGATTCCTACCTCTGCACTAATTCTCAATAAAAGAAGAACAAATGGTCAGTTTGAACAGTCTTTTAGGGAAAGCAGAAAGCATAAAGATCCTGAAAAATCAGAAGAAAAAATCTTAAAGTGGAGCATGCAGTCTCTTTGTAATTTTTTTAAGATATGTGTTTCTGGCTCTTTTCATCAACACACACCTTTCCTTATGCTTAGCAACATTTAAGATGGTGATCCCTGTATTTAGCATAGCATGTAATTTTAATCTACTATAGCTTACAGGTCTGACTTTTCTATGGTGTTTTGCATATTGTTACCACCTGTTTTATTACATTGCATCAGAGATAATTGTCCTCATGGGTCCTGAGTTTGACACACTAGAAACATCACCTGTCACCAGCCCTCTCTCCCTTCCCCCCTCTCTCAGCTGCTACTCACTCAAAAGGGTCGCTGGGATCAGCCCTCTGGAGCTCTGGAGGGATGGGGATTCTTTTGTAGTACATCTCCCAGTCGAAGGCTCCTCGCATGGCATCCCCAGCTTGTGCCTCATACCCAAAGTGATTGTGGTCGATGACATCGATCATGGGACACACGATGGTTTTGTGGTTTAGTGCAATTTGGTCTGAAAAATGAAAGCACAAAATAGGAAATGACATGCCTGCCTAGGTCACCTGTCATTTTCCAGCAAAGAGAAGCCCACATCTCCTTTTAATGCATAACACTCGCAGCCTTGGCGTCTCCTTGTCGTCATTAGAGCCCTTTGCAGGAATCTCCGAACGCTGGGCTTAACATGATGGGACAGTGATTAGGTACAATTAGAGTTGTTATATTTCCGTTTGAGAAAGTTATGTCCCGGAGAGACTTGCAGAAGTCCATTTAGCTCGACTCTGTCACATTTTTGCTCTGACCTGTCCCCAATCTGTCATTTTAACGCGCCTCCAACATGCACAGAGGATAAACAGTACTCGTGTTCCTCCAAGCATACAGCTAAAGCCTGCTGAGAAAATACTGGCCTGCTTTCTGAAGGTTCCACAATGTAAATATTTTAACTTCATGGTTTTTATAGCAACTAATCATAAAACAGTCATGATGGCCGTTCCCCCATAATGCCAACCAATCATATATAAAATTCTTTGCTGTCACATACGACAGAGAGTTTTGGTGAGCTGCTAGTCTTTGAGACTGACTCTACTTATCAGTACTGTGCACGTTTTATCTTTCTCCCATGCAATTAAAAGACATCATTAGATGACATGGTACTATTGCTATGATACTGTTGGTAAACCCACAAAAGATTCCAGGATGATGTATACTCATTCTCTTTCCAATACTCCCACTATCCATGACAACTGACTGTTTGATGTGGGATTCCCCTCTGTATGCTGTGATTACCATTAGTGAATAAAGAAACTGCTTTGGACCTATAGCAGGGCAGAACTTAGTTAGGAGGGGTAAACTAAGCTGAATGCTGGGAGAAGGGAGGTGGAGTCAGGGAGAAACCATGTAGCCCCGATGGAGCCAGACAGAACTTTACCCTGTAAGCCACAGCCACATGGCAATACACAGATTAATAGATATGGGTTAAATTAAGACATAAGAGTTAGCCAATAAAGAGATAGAGCTAATGGGCCTAGCAGTGATTTAATTAATACAGTTTCTGTGTGATTATTTTATGGTTGAGCAGTCAGGAAACAAACAAGCAGCCTTCCTCCCCCTACAACTGTTGTCATCCTGTTCATATACAGCGACACTGAGCTCAGGGAAGTCAGACAACTTGTCACGGGCTATTTCAGCTTTGGTGGACAATAATCAGGACATAGCCCCTGCTTAAATCTCTGGTTCCAAAACCTGCCTTTCTAGGCTGCCTGGGTGCCTTACCTAACAGGCAGGTGATTTCTCTCTTCTCTCCAGTTCTAGCAATCTTGCTTTTCTATACAGATATTTTTATTGTGATAGAGCTAACAGGCCTGCAGGAAACTGGCATTTGTTTATTTCGGTGCATGCAGAATAGCAATATGTGAAGTATCTTTTTCCCCCCTCTCAAGAACATGTGTTTAATCAATTTATTACAACACCGCTCTCTGACGGGCAGGATGTTTAAGTATGAGCACCTGCTCTCTCGTTATTTGGAAGACCTTTGGGTGTAGCAGGTGACATTTAACAAAGGATATCATTTAGAAATCTGATGGGAGTTGGTTATTTCTGTGTAATTTTTATCTCTCTCAGAGGCCCCGAAGCTAATGTAATGTGCGTGAGATATCAGCATTTTACAGTGAGGCAAATCACCATGTGCAGTGGAAGTTCCTACTCAGCGTAGAGCAGGAAGCAAAAGATTTGCGTGGCCATCATAGCAGGTGACTTTTTTTTTTTTTTATCACACTGATAAAACGGAGTGTGGAGAGAAACAAAAATTCTATGGGGCATTTCCCTTGCAAGTACACATGCTCATTCATTCATTCATTCATTCATGTTACAAAAATTATTTACTGTATTTACTGAGTGAAAACAATGAGTCAATAATTTTTCTAGGTTTTCAAGCTACTGTAGAGAATAATACCACAAATACCACCATATACAGGAATGGGACAAAAAGTTATAAAATGTAATAAATAACTAAATTCTATGGTGTTTTACAAGAAAAAGAAGACAGAAAGAACAGTGCTTAAGAGGTAGAGAATGCTTGAGAATGGAAAAGGAGACAGTTTTAGACACCACCACAACCCCAGAGAGCCTCAGAGAGCCTGGGGATCATATTTCTCTTATTGCCAGCTAGTTAGCAGGTGCACTGTTTCAAGGTAACCACCACCAAGCGCTCCCTCAGCATCCATTTTCACCAAGGCAAGCCTTATTGTGGGTTTTAGTTTTATCTAACTGACATTTTCCCCAGAGAATGGCAAAGACCGTCAGCGTAAGGGTGGAAACATTTCCTCCATCACCTCTGCAGCTCTAGCGTTACGGTCTCAGTGACCTTCTTCCATCAAATTCAGAACCAGCTTGATTTACAGGTTCCTTGACCAACAAGGAGTCCCAAGGTGATCCAAAGAGAATGAGTCTGTTAAATTAACTGTCAACGTTCCCTTCAAATTTCCTTTCAGCTCTCATCCAGCTGTGTGCGCTTGGGGTGAAAGCCGCATGACTAATTTTTCATCCAAGGCTGGTGCCTACATTTCAATTTCCAGGGATCAAACAAACAGACTCAATAGGAAATTGAAATTCAGGTATAATCCCCAAGGTGAAAAATGAACCAAGGAGCAGCAATGTGGCTCCGCCTGTTTCTTCATTTTGGATGATGTATCAAGATACTGATAGAGGAAAATAAAAAGAGATAGCATCCTGGGCTTGAAGCGTTTCTTATCCACCAGGCCCACAGGAAATGAAAGGTTTTAATGAGAAAGAGTGGGCTGTGGCTGTCTCTTATGCTCGTTTCCCTATCCCTCCTTCCCTGTGATTCATAGAGAATGATCAGAGGACTTATCATTGGCATTTAGGGATTGCTTTGGCTCAGACAGAAGTCCAGCCTTTGGTTCTCGTGCTAGAGTATTCAACAGCATGCAGGTCAAATTCAGTTTGAGGAACTCTTGCCGTTGCTAATGAGATTCTAAATGCCTGTGTCCTCGGACAGAGCACACTTAATTAAAGGCTCAGGGGAGTCTCTGGCTGATATGGTCCTGGGATCCTCTTGACTGAGAAGGCTAGGCTGGACCCTGAGCAGAGGCATATGGACCTGGTGAGTTGGGAGAGGGTGTTACTTTTTTACATCCTGTATGGTTGTCACTGAGGCCCCCTCTCTTGTTTTTTTTTTTTTTTTTTTTTCTGGTTTAGCTTGGCTAGTTGAAGCTGAAATCCCACGTAATAGTCACTAATAGAGCATTCTTTCTGATGTGGTGGCGGTGAGGGCCATTGTCACTGGCTTTATTTATAAACCAGGGATGCAGTTACAATACAAGTTGCCTTGGAGAAATCTAAGAGAACAAGAAAGGAGGGCAATATATACGCACTAAGAATTTTCTAGAAGGAATTTCTTTAGGTATCCAATTTCTTTCCTGGGTGCAATGGGGGTTTTCTACCTGGCTTCCTTGTAAACTAACAAGATAACAATACTGAGGCTTGAAATGCGTCCCGTCCCAGGTGGAGTTTCTATCCGCAGTGATGTCCAGTTTGTTTGTTTTGCAAGTGGTTCAGTGCGCTGTGACACTGCACGGTTTGCTGCCTTCACTCTGGTAGCTGTAACTGATCAATTAAGACTCATCACGGGGACAGCAGCTCAGTGTTTGAGGGGCTCTGTGTGAATTCAGAGGATTATGTATTGAAGGATGTAGGATAGCACCAGGAAGAAAAACAAAAAGGCAGCGGCACTACACATCTTAAAAAATGGCAAATCACTTAGATTCTTATATCCTGGGGCTGAATAATTTTCCTCCTTTCTTAACCATCGTGATAAAACTGTGTATATGTACATGGGTAAGTGTCTTTTGATCTTATTCTAATTGTAGAATGACTGAAAAATAGTTTGAAGCTATTTTTTTTTACTTTAGTGTTTACCCAATAAACGCAACTGCAATGAGAGAGGCATAATATAAAAGAAACCTTCCTAACCTTAAGTTGGATTGCTGCTGGTCCTATCTGAAATGCTATTTAATGTAGTTATACCTATTTGTCATCCACAGTGATGAAGATACAACTCAAACTCAAGCCTTTGCTGACTGCAACATTTATAGAAGAAACCTCACACTGTGTTATCAGGGCACAGTTGCCAGCTTCCCTGGTCCAGCGTGCCACTTGGTGAGAATGATGGCGACACAATATACTCACTGAGGAGCGGGGGCAGCCAGTTCACATTGACCTCACAGTGGGAGTCCAGGAAGGTCAGCACCTCGCCTCTGGCCACAGAAGCTCCCAGGAGTCGGGTCCGGATGAGTCCTTCCCTTTTCTTGGTGCGAACAATTCTCACTTTGGAAAACCGAGCCATGTAATCTTCTAACTTCTCCTTCAAGTGTTCTAGGGGGGGAAGAAAACACGCAGGAGAAAGGCCAAACATTAGTCATAGCGGACTCCTTCGCGGTTGCTCTGCATCGAGCATATGTGAACGGCGAACCCAAGTGGAACAATCTCGCAGCCTGTGTTTCTGCTCCCTTCATCTGGAGGAAGGTATTAATAAGATTTTACGCTTAGGGGTTTCTGTATTTTTATTTCCTCCAAAGCTTCATAAACCACAAACGTTGCCCTTTGAATTCCGTGGACGGCGATGGTACACCAGAGCTCAGTCATGCAGCTAATGTTGGCCAGTGGCCACCATGTTAATCCTGACCAGGATGCCAAGACGGGCATCGGCCTTCTAGGTCCTGCTGTGCGAAGTCAAACGAACATCCTGGCATATGGGCTCTTCCCGACAAGAGGGCTCTTTTACAGCAAAGTTTTGCCTGGTATTTTGTGTGCTGATAATGGTGCATGTAAAATAAGAAGGGGAAAAAAAATCTGTCAAATCAGTAAGAACCACACAGCTTCCCGCTCTGCAAGGAAATAGAAAACTGAGAAAGAAGTCCAGTTCTGGTTTCTAATCTGAACTGGAAATGTGACACACTTGGTATTGAAATAGATGACAAAAGGAAACCCTATTCTGTCATCTCGAATGTTGCTGTCTAAGATTCGGAAATCATTTGCACTCCTTAAAACTGGCAATGTTTCTTTCCTGATTAAAAGCAAACTGTGGGAACAAAATGAACTAAAAAACCGTGATTTACATGATAAGGTATTTTCTATTGGCTTTAAAATTGTATCAGTCTTTCAGCTCTTCTAAAGCAAAATGATGTATTTGGTGACTTTTTGTATGTCATGGACTTAGATGTTTTTATTCCCTGATGCTCCTAGTACATGTATAAGATATCGTGCTGGCTAGTTTTATGTGAACTTGACAAAAGCTAAACTCATCTGAGAGGAGGGAGCCTCAATTAAGAAAATACCTCCATATGACTGAAGTGTAGGTAAGCCGGTAGCACACTTAAATAGTGATTGATGGGGGAGGGCCCAGCCCGTTGTGAGTGGTGCCACCACTGGGCCAGTGGTCCTGGGTTCTACAAGAAAGCAGGCTTAGCAAGCCATGGAGAGCAAGCCAGTAAGCAGCACTAGTCCATGTCTTTTGCATCAGCTTCTGTCACTAGGTTCCTGCCCTGCCTGAGTTCCTGTCTTCACTGCTTTTGATGATGATCTGTTATATGAAACTGAGTGAAATAAACCCTTTCCTCCAGAAGCTGCTTTTGTCACCATGTTTCCTCACAGCAATAGGAACCCTAGCTAAGACAGATAGTCTGAGGGTTTTCTGATGTGAGTCACCAACCTCATGGTTTAGAATGCGATATGCTATTATTTGTTCTGTTTTTAACTTTCCATCTGTTTCTGTGTATCTATAACCAGAGTAAATATTCCAGAGACAGAAACAACATGAAAAGCTAATACCTACACAAATCACCAATCTAGTAATAATGACAGGTAATGAAAATTTCCTGGAAGAAAGAAGGTCCAGAAATAGAATTCACAAGAATGATCATAGTATGCTCAAGCAGCTCAAAGAAGGCATGCACATATTCCAGAGATCAAAACAAAGAGATGAATGAGAAAGTTAATACAAGATATGAAAATAAAACCCAGTAAAGAGACCTGCTGATGAAAACCAAGCTAACATGATGTTGGAAATAAAAAGTTCCATCAGCTGAGTAAAAACCTCACTGGAACGTCCCCTGTGCTTATAGATTGGTGGGATTTATAATTCCCAAATGATTCTGCACAGAATTTGAAAAACAAAACAAAAATCTTTAAATTTATATGGAAACACAGAAGATCAGGGTGGCTAAAACAATCCAGAACAAAACAAAACAAAGCAAAAATGGCCCCAGTGGGTAGTTCAAGACCCATGACTACAGATATGGATCTGGCTCAATTTACTGGGTCACAGAACTAAATTAAAAGTTGTGAAGGTAGAATAGGAACTTGAAGAGATGAGAAGAGGTTGATAGGGGTGGGAGGGAGGAAAAAGAGGACAGAGGGTGAGAGTGACCAGAATGCATTATATAGGCATCTATAAAATCTTCATATAAAATTATTATTATTAATAAGATAATAATAAAAATGATGAACTGCTTGTGTAGGAATCCAGCTGTACACACCTGTATCCTTCTCAATATAACTTGGGGGATGGGAGGCTCTAGATAGTCTTTCTGTTCCTTATATTGCTCGTTACATGTAATAAAATCCATTGTCTCAGGCCCTGGAATATCCTGACCTTCGCCTATATCCACTAAACAGTGGGAAGATCTATGAATCTGCAAACCTCAGGCCCTTCAAAGTTCTCTGCATAGAGTCACGAAGGCTGCTCAACTACAGACTGCTGAACACTGGACGTGGCAGTTCTGAAGCACGTGGAATCTGACCAACCACAGAGAACATTACAGGAAGCAAATGTGTAATTTCCCATAGTCGACTGATTCATACCAGGTACAACCTAGCTTTTTTTTTTTTTTTTTTTTTTTTTTTTTTTTTTTTTTTTTTTTTTTTTTAACTAGCCTCACGTCTGTTTCTGTTGAAGCAAGCTGTCATATAGCCCAGGCTGGCCCTGACTTTCATCCATGATGGACTATAAACTGTATTGCGAAAGTTTTCTTCCATAAGTTCCTTTTGATTATGACATTAGACCACAGCAATAACACACAACCTAAATAAGACAGAGTACACACTCTTACAATGGGGTTTGCAGAAGGGAATGAGGTAGATTATCACCTTACACAAAATAGTTTGGCGTATTGAGAAGAGAGTAAACTGATTTTATAAAATACACAGCATGTCTATAATGTGCATTTATTTCAGTTCATTTATTACTAATCTGACTTGTGTATTCATTACTTACTCCAACTCTTGATGAGGTACTGCTCACAGCACATCACGGTAGCATTTAAGCATTATTTTCCTTTTTCACCGAACATTCTCAAGAGCTATTTAAAAATGAGTTTTGTCTGCAATGACAAATATTTCTCCTATAATTCACACTTGCATTTATAATGTTCCTCAAGCTTTTATATGAAAATAAGAAACCTTAGCATAATCTATAGCTTAGAATTGCTCTGTTTAAATTAACCTGTGAACTTTTCATCTCCTTGAGATAGTGTATTTGTGTAATTTATTTGGGTGTTGTAACTGTTGCCTCAAAAAAGGGAACAGCTGTAAGTTGAAAATGGGTAAGCTACAGAAATCTTTTTCATGAAGCACTGTCTATAGGTATTACGAGCTTGGGTATGATTCATGCATCTTCATGCAATAAAAACATATTTTCTTTTTTTAACAACTTGGTTCTCTTGCAACATTTGAAACACTCTCCTTATTGCAATAGCATAGGCAAATAGTTTACAGATGTCCTTTGTAGTTCTAGTTCCAAATTCCAATATCTTAAAATGAGCAGGACAAAGTCAGGGGTTTACTGTCATGCTCTTTGACCTTGAGAAACTTAAGAATTAGGCCAAATATGTAAGCACTAGAAAGCAGCTTCGATTCTGTTTTAAATTATTTTGTGTTTGGGTATTTTGTCTGTTTTTGGGTGTATGTCTGTGTACCATATGGATGCAGTACCTGCAGAGGCCAGAAGAGAGCATCAGATACCTTGGGTTGTGAGCTACCTGTGTCTGCAAGGGATCAAACCTGGGTCCCTGGAAGAGCAGGCATATTCTTAACAGTGGGGCCATCAGTCCACCTCAGACTAGAAATCATTTTAATTGTACAAAACTATAACACATAGCACAGTTTTTAAAAAGGTTTTAGTTATTTATGTGTGTATATGCTTGTGTTTTGTGTGTGTTTGCATGAGTGCCTGCACACTTGGGTGTCTGGGTACCTACAGAGGACAAAAGGGACTATCAGAGCCTTGAGCTGGAGATGTAATGTTTGTGAGTCACCTGACTTATGTGCTCAGACCAGAACTCCAGGCCCATGATTGAGCTGTGAGTGCTCGTAACCACTGAGAGCTCTCTCCACACTAATGTAGTCTTTCAATTTAAAAGAGAAAGGAACCTGGTGCAATATGACATCTGAGTCACCAATGTTGGTGTGGAGGGATAGACACACATTCCTATGCATGGCCTTTTAATTTCTCCTATTCTAGTTAAAATTATGAGCATACACAGCCAAGTTTACCAGCTTAATAATTTCAAGGGCAGTGTTCATATTCTTGTGGAATTCATCTTTGGAAGATTTTTTTCTATCTAACTTTTCAGTAAAACAGTAACTGACGATGTATCTCCCCTCCCCATCCTTAGGAAACCACTATTTTATTTTCTGTTTTATATGTTTGACTATTATAGATTGCTAATAAATAGAATCATAAGGTACTTGCTTTTTGATGACTGTCTTGTTTAATTCAGTATAATTTTTAATTCAGTATAATTTTCTCAGTGTTCACCCATACAGTAGTATGTGTGTTATAATTCCTCTGTCTTTATATAATATGAGAAGTATAATATTTAACAGATATATAATATATAGTATAATATTTAATATATTTTATGCCACATATACTATATATTTTATGCCATATATAGTATATATATAATTTATATTATATTATATCCTATGTTAGGAATTAAGAACCCAGGGCATTCTGAATGCCGTGTAAGTGCTCCACTCCATTCCCAGAATCTCCTTACTTTACTACTCTTTACAAGAATAAATGCTATTTAATAATATTTGTAATCCATCTTTTGATCATCCACTCATCAGTTGGTGAACATTTGGATGACCTGCACCTCTGTCCTCTGTAGATGAGGTAGCTAAGGAAGTGGAAGAGCTGGACCACACACAACTCTGTATGAGTGCTGTGACAATCCACCATTGCTACATTTCCATGGTAACTGCACCACTTCCAATCACCACCCAGCCTAACATCCAGATGACTCTTTGTAAGATGTGAACGAAGCATCTAGAAAAACCAACCTTCCAAGTAACAGTTATTCTGTAAATAA